GGCGCAGTTTGGGCGGGGCTCAGCCGCACCACCCCCTATTTCCCGTGCCTGGGGTCTGCGGGTTCGAGTCCCGCTCGGGGCGAGAGGGGTCAGTGAGGCGAGGTAGGGCTGTGCCTGAGGCTTCGGCTCCAGAAAGGGGAGTTGCTAGTGGCTGGCAGCAGTCAAATGTCCTTTTATCAGTTAAAAAAAAAAAATCTGGATCTTGCAGGTGCTCACCAAGCACTAGCAAAAACCTCCATGCAGGGGCTGCTGAGGTGGAGGGGTAACAACCGCCACAAAATGGGTCTACGGAGTAGGGAAACGGCTCCTAGGGGAGCAAAGCAAGACCTGCAGAGAGCCGGGAAGAGCCTCCTTAATGAGTCGTGGAGGTTGGGCTGTCTGGTGGTGTTTTGTCTAGTGATAAACTGGCACGTATCGAAACTTGAGTTGAATTAGGCCTTGCAGATGAAGCTAAAACAAATGACAAATGGTTTTTCAACCATATAAATAAAAATAAAACACGGAGAGAAAAACTGAGACCGCTCTGGGGTGGGAGCGGTCAAGATGGAGGTAAATGAGCAACCGCCCAAGCAGAAAAAAGTGCTAATATTTTATGCTAGTTGTATCAGCTAGACCGATACAACATCTTGATTCGGTCCTGTTGGGTTAGTTGATACCGACGATTTTTAATCATATAATCAAGACTGGCTGTGGCAGGGACTCGGCGTAAGCAAGGGCACGTCACCGTGCCGATACTTCTGTCTTAAAAGCAACCCTTCACAGTCACCGTCATCACGAACTAGTAAATCCTCCCGTGGTGAAGCTACACATGTTCAGCGCAAGCGTGAACAAGAAATGCTTTAACGCCAGCCTATGCAAGCCGCAGTTACAGCTACCGAACAGCGGAGTGCAATATTGAGCTTTCTGAAAGATAAACTGTGTCTTGCTAAGACCTTGTGAGAACAAGCATGAAATACCTGTAAGGATCCCCTATTACGAGTGATGTCAGCTTGATTTTATAGGACGTGATGGCGTTTTTAATTGTTTTGTGTGGTGCGGTTACATATCTTAATGGTCATTTCCTTCATGAGTTCTCCAAGATAAAGCCGGTTCATGAAACCGTACACAATGAGTTGGACATGGACAATTTTTTAAACCCAGGAGTAAAATGCAACCTCTAAAGAAAAATATTAGTGTTATGTAATATTCTAACAGTTATACTTGATAACTCTTCTGGAAAGATTTCTTTAACTTATGTCCATGGGAATGCTACTTTAAAATGGGAACTAAAGTTGTATATGAGTTGGTGATCCCTACATCTCATGACAAGGTGTGAATTGCTAAAGGACTGAAGTCCATATTTTTTTCAAAGCGTATCCTGCAGCACATTCTAAAAATGTATCATCCAGCACATTGTTCACTTGCCTTCGTAAGTAAAATAACCAAATGCACATGTACCAACTGCAAAGATGCACCTATCTTCTTCACATATACCCATCTACTCTTAAATTCAGGAAGTCTTTTCCCACCAAGCTAAAGCTGTGATTTGGCAAGCACATCTTTTGTCAGTGGGGCCAGCTTTAGTAGCCCTTGCCCCTCCATTACGTTGCTCTTTTTTACCACTGTACCCGTCACTTAATGCAGCTGTCTGTGTGGCTTGAGTTGTGAGCAGACTGAGAACTGATTTAGGCTAAAAAATAATCTACTGAAATACCCATGGTTCATTCAAACTTCTCATCTTTATTAGTCATAGGGTGGCACAACCATGGGATTATTTCTGGCATAAAAATTGCCCTTCTGTTTTGCATAATGACCATCCTCTCTTTCCAAAATTGCTAGATCATTCCTGGTGGCCAGACTGCTCTTTTATAGTTGATAATTGAGATGCAGTAATAGCCATAAATGCACCCTACGTAGCTTCTAACCCCAGCATGCTTCATGCCTATTCTGGGGCTAAGATAGGAGATGGGTAGCAGATGTCTGCTACATTATGCCCCTAGCAGTGGAGGGCCATTGCCATCTCTATTTTGAGCCTGGGAGCCAGGTTTCATGTTTAACCCGAGGACCTATTTCGACAGTCCATCCTGAGAGGCTGGGAAACGCCGGCGGGTTCCTGAGGCTTCGACGGGGATGAGTGCGGTAGACCACAGCAGCAGAGCTGTGCCTCAAGGAGGGGAAGCCCCGTCCACCCTTGTTTAGGTTGCAAACTGGAGCGCAAACTCCATAGGGCAGGAGGTCACTATGGTGCAAGCTGGTTGTGTCCTGCTGGGCTGGTGAGATCAGAGGTGAATTGCAGAGCTCGCTGCTGGAGGGGATCATTCTACCTCTGCCAGAGGGCAAGGGGTCTCCAGCTTGCCTAAGCGTGCTTTCTTGGCTCTAGTGTAAATTCCGTTTATTGCCTAGCATTTAGCCTCTCTTCCCTAAAGAGAAGGAGGCCCCCAAAGGACAGCTGGCTAACCCACGCCCCTGTTAAATCTCCGTTTGTTGCAGATGGAGCCTAGTCTGGGCAGAATGCGTTTGTGCCAGTTGATAGCAGCAAAGGGTGGGTGAACGTTTCCCGAGGCATCTACCTGGGATTCAAGTGACCATGAAGTATTTACCTGGCTTATGGGCTTTGCAAATATAGTTTCTTTTATTTCTCTCACATCCCTGAAAACCATGCTAGAACTTCTTCCAGCCTCTTGGTTTTTGTACGAAAAAGGCTGCCAGCAGGGATTTTCAAGATAAGTGTGGGCTCCAGAGCTTTCTCAGCTGTCTGTTTTCAGAATTCCATCAATTGAAGACACGCAGGTTTTAAAAGGAGATTTAGGACCAGAGATTTCAAACAATTTTTTAAACATCTTTTTTTTAACACGGAGAGAAGTGCATGTCTTTGGTTGGTTGGCTGACCAATGGATTTAATGTGTGTAGATGGTTAGTCTCTGCCAATATATAAAGTACTGTGATATGCTTGTTTCCTTTCTATTGTCTGTTAAAAGAAATCAGGCTTACTTTTTATTGCATTTTTTAAGAAAAGCTTACTTGAGATGCAGACTTTTCTATCAGTCCTTGAAAAAAAAAATCCTCTATTTAGATTTTGCAAAAAAATTTCATTCATATATGCTGTTTCTTGATGTTATTATTAGTGTTCACATAACCCTGTTGTTATTCTCTACTTTTTACAAGTAAACATTCCCTGCAGAATTTTTTAATCTTGCAATGCTTTAGAAAATCAGAGATCAAATTAATCTCTGTAATAATTAAATCTTTTCCAATAGATTTAGTCCAAGGTGAAATTTAGTCCCAGAACTTCATTAAATCATGTCAGCAATATTAATTAGAATATTAATTTTATTCAATTTTTTTATTATATGCTGTAGTTGATGTATTTTTGCATATCAGCTACAGCTGTAATAACAAACTGTGGGATTTTTTGCAAATCACCATTTAGAAAAGGTTACTAGTAGGTTGGATGTGCTTTTAGTGCTATTTTTAAGACCAAGGTGAATAGTTTCTCTCATTAAGGTTTTAAGAACCTGCTTGCTCCCGGGGCATGAAGATAACATAATTCTCATTTACGATAAACCTTTGCAGTAGTATTTGTTACCAGTAAAAGGCAGAAATAAGGACACTAGAGATTAACATATAACTTTTCATTATTCTTTTCGTAGTATGAACTTATTGCAACACTGCTTGTTTAAAAGGACATTCTAAATCAACTGCTAACAACTGGATGTATTTTTAAATTTAATTCAGTAAGCATTATAGCTTATCTGTGGCATAAGAAAGTTCTGTTCCTCCCACATCAAGACTGCTTCAGAGAGCACATTCAGCTTTGAAGCTCCATCATTCAGTGACCTTGACTTGTCTGACTGAGGTTTTGTGTAAAGAGCATTGCATTATCGACAGACAAACCAATAAAACAAACACGAGCGACAGTGCACAAATATTCATTCTTAAAAACACATGCTTGCACCTCTGCCAACAGGTGTCTTTTCTGCATGGTAGGTAGTACTGTACTGTACAAAAAGAGGTCACGGAACACCATAGGGTCGTTTTATTACTGCAATTCCTAATAGCAGGTTTGTAGTGATATCATTGCTACGTAAGTCCAGGAGCAGTTTCCCATTAGTCGTATGAGTAGGACGGTAATGTGTAGAAAGGAAAACAGAAGGAAAACAGCATAGGTTTCCTGCTTTGAAGAGAAGGCCTCCTTGGTATCATTTCTAGAAGAAACTTAAGCCAAATTTTCAAAGTTCTTTATAAGGCTTCATTTACTTCTTAGAAATCATTGACATAACTGTAGTGGTTACAAGGATGAAAGAAACAGCATCCTTGGATGTTTCTTATGTGAATGAGAGAAAAATCACATTATTACCACCATACTAACGTTGATCAAATTCTGCTGCCAAAATTGTTATGTAGATATAAATACATATATTTACCAACATACCTTTCTGTCTTTGTGGTTCCAGATTTAGACTGTTTTGGTGAAAGCATTTGGTGTTCTTTTTTGCCAGTGTGAGCTGTGTCTCCATGCAGGTACAGCTTTGCTGATAAAACTCTCCAAGCAAAACCTTTACAGTGTAGACAAGGCTTCAGTTTACTAGATGAACTGTAGCATAATCCCCATTCTGTGGTATCATTTGACACAAAACCATGAACTAGCCTTTACATGATATAAATGTGTTAATTTATTGTGCTTCCTGGTAAATCCCCAGGGAAACACAACCAACCAACTCTCTTGGGGAAGTCAATGATAAGCGCTGGACTTGGGAAGGTCAAAGACTGAATTTCCAAGGGGAAATGCACTGAAGCCACATATAACCCAGGGGTTTCCCATGCTGGGACTCGGCAGTGCGCTCTGGCTCCCACGCCAACCCCCATAATTCAGCCCGGGGTGCGGTCTGCACAGCCATCTCCCCATGTTTTCATGCTGGACCCAAGAATGGTTCATGCTTGAAGAAGGACACTGTAAGAACCACTTACTGTAGAATATGGCAGTGGTTTCAGAAATGTTTAAGACAAATATTTAATTAAGATTTACATGTACTAAGGCAGGATGATTTAACGGTAAAGTTCTAGCTCAGGACTAGCAAGACCTGGTTTTAATTCTCTGCTTACCACAAGCTACCTGTAAACTCTAGGCCAGCAATTTAGCATCGTTATGTCCGTTCCCAATACATAAAATAAGGGTGACTGGATTTCCCTCAGAGGTACGGGGGAGGAGGGGATTACATTTAAGGTTGTGAGATGCCCAGAATCAGTGCTAATCGGGGGCATGCGATATCTTGGCTAGCGTCTTTACAGTGGAAATAAAATGGTAAAGATGTCAGTTTTGGCCGTAGGCAGATTTCTTTAGCCACTGTAGAGGGAAGTTTATCTTCTTCAAAATGTTAGGGGTGTTCTGGTGGAAGGGGTCAAATTCAGTGGACTAAGAGCTTCTTGAGCCATGGCTGATTTTGGTCAAAGCCGTTTAATAATTAAACCAGTCAGGTTAAGCAGTTTTCATATTTCAGGAATCTCCATAGTTTACAAGAATTCTGACAAAAGCACGAATACAGGAAAAAGGCCTAAAACAAGCAATTTCAACTGTTCTTATCTCTGTTTATCACAAAATCTCCCGCCCCGTTGACTTGGTCTTTGAAACAGAACCTCAGCCCATAATTTACTTCTCTTTAGACATTAATATGAATGACTTCAGAAAAGTGCACTAATTCAGTACCTTGTATTTAATTCAGTATAATACGATCATTTTTAAGGTATGAAAAAATCACAGGCTATGCAGAGAATGAAGTGATAAAACCATGCTAAATGAGAGCTTAAAAAGCATCAGAAAGAATATTTCTTTACGTTGCTATGGTTACAAATAACTTCACACCACATTCTTTTAAAGGATCATTAAACATATTTAAGTAATGATTATTATAGAAATACTATTTGTACTAAAAAAGGAAAGCAGCAAACCAGTATGTAAAATGTAGTTATTTTAATTCATTTACAATGAATTGCTAAAGTAATTAAAGTGTTGTTTTGTACTTATTAATCTTGTTTTTGTACTTATTAATCTGATTTTTAATTAGAGCTAAACAATTGTTTGACACAAAATTATTAATGTAGTGAACATAGTCTCTTTTCTCTTTGTCAATTGTCTGAGCAGGTCTACTTTATTATTCAAATTTTAAAATTAAACTAATTGTATGAAGTTTCACAATTCCAGAAATTGTAAATTAATTCTGATCTGTAGTTTGTCAGCAGCTCGTCAGGAATATTCAAAGCTCAGTTTTGGTAGTTAATTTAGGCTGGATTTGTTTGATATATGGTACAGTTCCTTTTTCATTATTTAGACAACTGTAATGCAGTGTGAAATTTCATAGAAGTGTGTAACTTGCTTTGTAGTAGTGGTTTGAAATGTACTATTCCTGTCACTCTTGCTGCAAGTTGCATGGCTCACCAGTATACTCGTAAGCAATGAAGGTAAGAATAAAACAGGAATCTTATATAATTAATTTTTCAGGATATTCACTGAGCTGCTAAAGCTTCCTCATGAGGAAAATCAATTTATTCATATTTGCAGGACTTAAAAAGACCCCAAGGCTTGCATATCTAGCCGGGTACCATCAGAACTATTTAGAAGAATTTAACATTTTGTACCAAATGAATTTTTTCATATTTAATGTCATATTCTGAGACACTCAAATTTTCAGTAGGAAGAAAATAGGAAAGGAGATGTCACAAACTGTGACATTTGACATTCTTTTCTTTGGATGTTCGCCTTTTCATCTGTTTTAAAAGACTTGTGATTTTTGAGAAGGTAGTAACCTTGTGTAATCTGAACAGGAGGTTCTTTTAAGGGTCTAAATATTTATTTGATGCCAACAGCAAGAGCCTCTGGGATATGTAGATAAGACTTGACCAGAAGTATTGCTCAATAGCGAATGTATTCAGGCACATAGTGAACAGAAAGGTTAAATATTAACAGAAAGACAGTGACTTCTCCAGAGGGTTGGTCCTATCATTACCAAGCTGGGAATTTAGGCTTGTATATATACAAACACAGAGGATCTCTCACTGTCAGAGCCGGTGGTGGGAGAAGTTCACTGAGCTGCTCAAGCACGTCGGCATCATGAAGCTGCTCCTGCTGTTCCTGCTCTGTGTTTCTACCGTTAAATCCCAGGGTTTCACTGAATATGATGACGAGGTTGTAATACTGATAGTAATTAATAATAATAAGAGTAAAAATGATTAATTTTATTTAACTGCATGCATGACTTTCTCAGCTTCTGTGAGTTAAGTAAGTTAGAAACTGCGGGAAAAAACAATGTAGTGCATGTTCTTGCACCACTCGTGCTCAAAGAAATAACCTTTGTATTACTTTTTTCATGTATATATAACTGCAAACAGTTCTTTTCTGGTTTTAGATCTATTTTCTTCCTATTTCCTTTCTTCCTCTGCAGGGGAATGAAGACTGTAAGTTGGTAAGATTAGTAATTTAGTTAAATGAATTTAAGGATATTTGTTTAGCAATGTTGACATTTAGTGTTACAGAAAATGAATTTGTCAGGGGCAAGAGAGTAGAAACGTGTAATTAATGGTGTCCTGTCTCAAAGACAGCAAACATTTTTCTCTGGATTCGGTAGGCATCGCAAGAGAATTTACTACCAGATCATATAACTTTACATTTGAAATGAGGAGATAACAATTATTAAACAAAAGGACAAGCAGTGAGGATCTAAAATAACAATTTAACCTGTATTTGGTTTTTTAAAAGTAAAATATTTTAACGGGAAGTTTGATTTGGAATCTCAGGGGTTTTTTATATTTTGAAAATCTCCACAAAAGTGGAATAGGCCAGGATGATCAAAAATAAGATTCTTTTCTGTTATACAACATAAGGGTTTGTGTGCATGCATTCGTTACTGATAAGACTACTATACTGAATCATTTTCAATAGTTTTATGATGTGTATGCTGCCTACTTTTGGAATTATTTTAAGACTCTGACCCTGGATCCTTACAAGTGGTTGCTATTTGTAGCTAAGTCTCAGTGCGATTGGAGGGAGCAGAAGACTTTGATCCAGTTGTGCAAACAAATATTAATTCAAATGATTTAGTTCAAATAAACGCTTAGGGGCAAGGCCAGTTTTCCTTGCTCAGCCTATCAGACTTTCAAATTGAGTTTTGAGATGAAAGTTTTTCAAATAAATAAAATTGTTAAGGTAGTGCTTCTATTTATCAATAGAGCTGAAAATGCACAGGAGTAGAATTCACTTTAGGAAGCTTAATTTATAAATTCATATTGCTCTTAAAATGCGTCCTACAGTATGGGACACTGGGAGCTGCTATAGTTCCTGTTTCTAACAGTGCTGGGGAATACATGCGTCAGAGAAAGCTCAAGAAACCCAATCTGAGGGATGTTACTGAATAATTTCATTAATTCTGGCAGGTAATAGCTGGCTTACAGCCTGAAACCTGAAGATGAATTTGACTGTGGCCTGATTTTCTGAGTCCTTGAAAATTTTATGGCAGTCCAATGAAAAAGGGGGGCACTAATAATATCATGGTGAATGTTCTTCTTAGACCCATGAATGTCTAATTTTTTTTAATCCTACTGCTTCAAGTTTCATGGTACGTAGTGGCTATGAACTACATACACATTAATCTTTGGTCAAAATGAACAATTGAAATATTGCGTTGTTTTGGCTTTGGAGGCTTTTTAGTTTGGCTGGATCTAGTCGGAGAGGATGTGAGTTGGAGAAGAAGGCATAACAATTATTTTTACATAATATCAGCATGGTATTTCCATATTGCTTTTTAAATCAGTTAAATACCCTTTGCTTTGGGTTTTTTTGCTGTTTAAAACGTTAAAGGATGCTGAAAGGATACCTTCATCCAGTGCATGGCATTTAATAATAATGATCCTAAATTCAGAGATTTTTCTTTCTTTGTGGCTTTTGTAGGATGAGGCCCTTCATGGCAGGGAGTCCCCTCAGCCTGGGGCTCGAGGCCACAGACCCCTGGACAAGAGGCGGGAAGCAGCCCCAACACTGAGACCTGTGGCGCCACCCATCAGTGGAGGTGGCTATCAGCCCCGGCCACCAAAGCGGGTGAAGCCGGGTGAGAAGAAAGGTCCAGTCATTTATCCTGATGCTGGTGGCTGCAAGCATCCTTTAGATGAGCTGGTAGGTGTCTCGCTCTTATACTGGAAATGTAAACAGATACAGCTAGTAAGAGTCTATCCTTTTCTTCTGGTGTACTGAACAGAGAGTTTTCTTAGTCAGATAAAGGAGAGATTGTCATTCATTTGAAGCAGCCTGACTTTACTTCTTTTTGCTCGAGTTTGGTAGGACTTGATTCAGAAGAGTAATGCCATAGAGTCCATGGGATTAGTCACAGGGTCAGAGGCAACCTACAAGGAATAAGGGACGATGAGGTTTGAGCCTTACGTGGTGAAAGAAAGTATCTATGGGTAAGCCTGCACTTTTCCAGGTGCCTTGCATAAGTAACTATTAAGAAGGACAGGAAAAAGTTCTGCAGAAAGGCTGGCTTGAATTTCAGATAATCTCAAGGCACCATAGGGACTGAAAAAAACCCTCCCATATCTTAAAGTTTGTTTCAAACCAGAATTATAGTCTATCCTCAGGCACTGCCTTAGCTGTTATGGAAAAGCGTGCAAATATGCTGAGCTAGCAGACTCCTTGCTGCCTCGCAGTACAGTAGTCTACCAGACTATCTCAGCTCTTCTCTCTGCCAGAAAGTGTCCCTTTTTTGAGACACACCCTTGATGAAGCAGCACTTAATACTGAAGAAACAGTGCTCAGCTTTGATCATTTTTTAATGAAGTGTACTTGTCTGTTTTGTATGAAAGACATATATAACCAAGGTGTACAGAATATGGTTGACTCTTATCTCTGAGGTTACTGAAAGAGGAAGGGGGTAGATACGTATATACGCAGGCACCAGGTAATCGCTGGCAGGCTTCGGTCATAGTTCAGGTGGCTTAATTGTGAACATTTAATAGTGCAGAAAAAGTGAAAAACGACTGCTGGACCAAAGTGTAGAGAGGCCTTTTCCAAAGAATTTCAACAAAAGAATCCTCCTGGGGAACTCAGGGCTCCTTCTTCCACTTCTGATTGCAGCTTCTTCCTTGAAGTTGAAAATCTTGAATTCTTATCTAGGTGATTAAATATGTGACCTCCCATTACTAACTATTCTGTGTTTTCAAAGGTATAGCCCCTCATCGATGGGATGAGAAGCTTCTCTTTTTATCTTGGCTTTTATCCATAGCCCCCTCCCTTTTTTTTTTTTTTTAAGGGAGTGCTGTGTCCAACTGGATGTGAATTGCAAACTACACTGGTAAAACAGGAAAAAACTGTGAAATCAGTTGTTCATGATCTAAAAGACAAAGTGAACAAATTGTCCGACAGCTCTACAACTTTCTATGAATATGTGAATATTCTAGATGATAAATTGGCAAAGAGACAAAAACAAAGAAAAGGTATGCTATTCTTATGAGTCACTAACGTAAACATTACAATCTTTACAGTTATAGGGACATTGCTACCATTATTTGTTAAAGGGACTTCTTAAAAAAGTTAAAGATGCAGTAGAGCAACTATCTAGCAAACTAGGGTTCCATAACTATATCATCATAGATCCTAAAAAATACTCTGAGAGAGGAAAAGAAATGCATCTTACACCGAGGTAAGAGTAGTATGAGGCCCGTAGACGTAAGCGGCCCCCTTTTCTCGTACCTGTTCTCTCATGTCCATCCAGTTCCTTTATGTCCAGCTCCTGGCTCGCCACCATGGCTCTCTAGAAAGCAGCTTAAGTATACTTCTTTGGCAGAACATAGCAATACTGATAAATCTAATAGCCCACAAAGACATTAGCAATACATGTACATCCCTTTTCCAAGAATCTTTGCATAGCCTTTGCATGTTGTGGAAACAAGTAAAGTAAGGAAAAGACATGCATGTCCTTCTTCCCTGCTAAAGAAAGAAGCGACTTTTGAAGTTGTGCTTGCAGATCGTGTTTCATTATTTCATAGCTGGAAAACGTGTTGAAAACTAAGCTGTTTTTTAAATCTGTTTGCTTTTCTAGACAATGACGGTTTACTTTCTGAGTACAATACAGAAGTGGAAATGCACTATAATTACATAAAGGATAATCTAGACAATAACATCCCATCAAGCCTCAGGGTCCTTCGAGCAGTTGTGGATTCTTTACACAAAAAGATACAAAAACTGGAAAATGCCATTGCAACCCAGGTGGACTACTGCCGCTCCCCTTGTGTTGTTTCCTGTAATATCCCGGTGGTTTCAGGCAAAGGTACCTCATACACCTATAAAAACATCTTTCTCTTCTCACATTTACATCACTGTACCGGGTAAAAGATGCATCATTTGATTTGCATGAACATTTGTCTGAAGCCTGTGACAGCGGTTGGGATAGCAGAAAAGCTGGCTAGTGTTCCGACATGAAAAAGCCTGTTGTGGATGGCTCTATTGGTCAGACCAAGTATCCTTTTACCGCAAATCTGTCTTCATCGGTGGCCAGGAGCAGCTTTAAGAAATCTGTGGTTTGGGGACTTTGTAAGGTGGAGGTGATATATTTGTTATAGTTATGTTTGTGCCCTGATAGGTTTTTATTTCATGAGTTTGTCTAATTCAAAAAGTCATTGAAAAATATACACTCTTCAATCACTTAGGTTGAACGTTTACAAATGACTCTCTGGAAAAGTAGAACAATACAAATACATTCCTCTTTCTCCAATGATTCTTTCGTGTGATGTATCATGAAAATCAAAATGAAAGTAGAATTAGATATATCTTTAAAATTGTTCACATGCAATCAGCAAATAAGGACAAGAATACTGTTGAAGAAGAAGTTAAGAGCTCTTTCAGTAACAGACACTTTGGCTTATAATTGCAGAATGTGAGGATATTTTCAGGAAGGGAGGTGAGACATCCGAAATGTACCTCATCCAGCCTGATCCTTTCGTCAAACCATATAGAGTATACTGTGACATGAAGACAGAAGGTGGAGGTGGGTGTGAAATAACTATGTTGTTTAAATGTTAATTAATATGAATGCTACAATAATCACTTGTACTAGTAACTATCCTTTATGTCATTTTTTTTAATTACTTGAAAGTGAAGTCTAATTAACTAGTTCAAAAAAGTCTTGTTGGTCATCTTCAGATGCACATTAGGCTGTTTCTTCAGGGAAACTGGAAATAAATTACTGGGAAGGGATTGGTAGGTAAAAATATATCTTATAATGACAGGGTGGACAATGTCTAGGCAGACATGGAGGAGCTGGCTCATTTGTTATCCTGCCACTATGTGCTAGTTATCAGACTGAGGCATTCCTTCAAGTTCTGATTTTTCCACCTTTACTCATAAAGCAAGGAAGCCATATGCTAATCTCATCTAGAGATGCAGGCAGGAGAAGGGCTATATCTTAATATTCTATATTCCTTTCTTAATTGCAGTTTAATTTAAACACTGTTATTCTTGCAGGCTGGACTTTGATTCAGAGCCGCCAAGATGGCAGCGTTAACTTCGGGAGAATATGGGATGCATATAAAAAGGGTTTTGGAAATGTTGCAAAGAGTGGAGGGAAGAACTACTGTGATACACCAGGTAAACTTGTCAACAGAAAACCTGAAGAGTTCCTGTTACTAAAACCATTTTCTCATGTTTCTTGAAGCTCTTTGACTTTTTAAAACTAACTAATCCACTTTAGCAGACCTACAGGCAAATCATAAAGTTGTCTTGAAGTACAGTGTGCAATTGATTTCTCAGAGCTCTCATCTGTTGTTTTCAGGTGAATATTGGCTTGGAAATGACAAAATCAGCCAATTTACCAAAATAGGGCCCACTGAAGTTTTAATTGAAATGGAGGACTGGAACGGTGATAAAGTTTCAGCTCATTACCAAGGTTTCACCGTACAGAACGAAGGAAACAAGTATCAGCTTTCAGTTAGTAACTACAAAGGCAATGCAGGCAATGCTCTGATGGAAGGAGCTTCACAGCTGCATGGAGAAAACAGAACAATGACAATTCACAACGGCATGTTCTTCAGTACTTACGACAGAGACAATGATGGATGGTATGTACTTTCATAAGCTATTTTAAAAAATTAACTATTGAATCGTATGTCTCTCTGCTTAAAATAGAACTAGATATAGACTATTTTGCTAATTTGCTGTTAGTTTTCACAGAATGTTATGGTATATTAAAATACGTTTTCTCCTTGCAATTTACCAGCCAAATGTTCATGCTGTTCCATTGACATAGCCAAGGGCAGAGTTTTCCCAGGTGAAACTATGTGTTAGATTAGAAACAAGCACACTGAATTAACATGTTACTGTAGACAAATTGGCAAATCTGGGTGTGGTATATTCATTCTCAGAGACTGATGCTAGCAGTGCTGAGGACCATAGTCACACCTTATAAGGAATATTGGTCCTGACTCCAGTAACACAGTAATGGGCCTTAAAGAAACAGGTGGATAACATATCTTATTTAAAAGATAGTTGTGCCTACTCAGAAGGCAGGAGCTCAGTTGCAAAGTACATAAGTTAGCACTGTATCTCTAAGATATATGCTGTGTTTTTATGTTAATACTTCTCAGTTATGTATTTACTAATAAAGAAATTGTTTGGACTGGGAAAGGCATACAATTAATATTGTTTTATATCCTTAAATTGCATTGATATTGCAATTATCTTTATCAGCTGGCAGTAATTGTAGTTATCAACTGCTAGTCTGAAATAGCATTCCAAAAGAAATGCAGCTAAGATTATACTTGTTTTCCTTGGCAACTTCAGTTTCCAAGATTTATGCATTTTACGTGCCTGTGAGAGCCAGTCTTTTACAGAAAGTTTAGAGAAAATTTTCAGTAATTGTTATGGTTTGAAAATATCAGTAGAGGGACAGGGGTATGCACTCTGTTGAACTGTCTATTTATGGTTCTTCTGTCATTGTTAACTCTTCCTTTTTCTGCTGCAGGTTAACTGCAGATCCAAAAAAGCAGTGCTCCAAAGAAGATGGTGGCGGATGGTGGTACAATCGCTGCCACGCAGCCAACCCCAATGGCAGATACTACTGGGGAGGGAGCTACAGTTGGGATATGGCAAAACATGGTACAGATGATGGTGTTGTATGGATGAACTGGAAAGGGTCATGGTATTCACTGAAGAAGATGAGCATGAAAATCAGACCATACTTTCCACACTAACCATTTTCAAAATGCACAGTCACAGATTTTCTTTTCATACTCATGCGTGGTTAACTTTTTAGGCATGATATTCAGGTTTATCTTTCTGTAGGAGAACCAAATATGACAAAATGTATGTATGACCATAATGTGATGTAAAGGGAAAAGCTGTGTCAACTGTAACCTGCAAGTGTATTTTATACCATTTTTCATTTGTTAGTAAGACAGAAGTAACTAGCAGCTGTCGGTAACACTGACAATAAAAATACCCATTTCATTGTTTTACAAAATAGTTCCATACTGCATTTGAAGAGGGAGAGAACTATTTTTAAAATGTTTTCTAAAAATTAAAAAAAGCCTTAAAACTAAAGTTTTCTTCCTATAATTTCTGATTACTTATGCATTATCTGGGGAGAAGCAAGCACATTCCACACAGTAGAGGACTGTCTTTTCCTTTCATATCACAAAGGTGTGCTAACTGCCTGTGTAACAAGTCAAGAAGAAATAAAGCAAAAATATAATATCTGAAAAACTGCAGGTCACCAGTTGCTTTGTTCAGACCCTATATGCTGGATTGAATGTGTCCTTTCCTGGAACCTGACTCACACAGTGTACCTCATCTTATCCCTTCCCCTTCCCACTGCCTTTTATCATTCAGCAAAATAGTGCATTAGAAGACCTGGCTATTGGCTATGACCAATTACTATTGTGGGACTAGAGCAATTAGTGTCTCCAATCATAGGATAATTTTTATTTGAAAGAAACAATGGAGGTCATCTCATCCCACCTTCTGCTCAAACAGGGCCAACTTCAAAGTCATACCAGCCATGACCAAGAAGTAAAGAAGGACATAGTTAGGGCAAGATACAAAAAATAATCGTAGGAAACAGAGAGATAGGGTGGTGTACAGTAAGAGAGAAAGATAGTGAGGTGGAATAACTGTCTGTATATTGTGAAAATTAGATTTTTAAAAAGAACATTTTCCTTTGTGGACAGAGAGGCATCTGGGTCTCAAGTCTCTAAATGACATCAGCTGTGCCTGCGAAGAAGTCCTGGGCTGTGCTCTGATCCGCTGAGCCTGGCAGACGCTGAGCAGCAAAGGCAGGCTCTTAAGATGGGCATCACTGAGAAGCATGTTTTGCAACTTTGCTAAAATGTTTCCTTAAAATCAGCTAAAACTTTTAAACAGAAGTTCTCCTCATATAATTTCTAGCCACTTGTGCATTACTAGTGAAGAATAAATAGGAGTACTTACCACAAACACAATACAGATTACTATCTTAATAGAGGCATCCAATGAAATTACAGAGGTGTATCAATGTTATTCTGAAAGACAGACTCATCCTTTTACTCCTTTTTGCTAAACACCTCTGCTTATTCCATTTGTGATTTGGACCAAGCTCTCTGTATGTAGATCAAGATTTTGTTGCCAGTAGAGCTGCCCTTCACATCTTTCCCATTTCTTTATCGGGTTATGATGACAGTCTAAAATTGAGATGCACCTCATCTCACTTATCTAAAATTTGAGTATTTTATTGAAGCTAGTGGTCTGGGCTGGCTCTGTAGTCAGGAGCAGAGGTTGTCCCAAGGGCAGAACTTCCCAGTCAAGGTAGACCTCTCAGAGGGGACTGCCTTCTCCATGAAGGTGGGAACCTGGATGGCTAAAGGTAGCTGGATCTCATCTGCAGCCTCTCTCGTTAATTTAATCTGTGGGGTTCTGGGGGAACAAGGAGGAGACATCATAGTAGCATCTCATTACATGACTGGAAACGTTCTGAGTCCTCGCAGCCAGGCTTACACTGCAGCTAGGAAATTAAAATAGATGGCATAAAGCAGAAGTGCTTTTTTCAAAAGCACAAACACTTCTTTGCACATGGTTGTGGAGATGTCTTAGCTTTTCAGCAGACTCTCCAGCAGTGTGGACAGCGACTGAGCTTGAGAAATGCTGAAAAAAAGTGAATGTCTTTGTTAGTGCATGATGATATTGTTAAATGGTATGATAAATGCTCACCAGTAAGATTTGAGGTAAAAAAGTCTGCTCATGCTCATTTCTCAGTAGAAACAGAAAAACTGAACACAGTGAATATTTGTTGTGTGATTTCATGTCATAAGGTATGAAGACAAACACAGCATGTTCTCGTGTAATCATATAGCTGGTATAACAATTTTTCCCATGTGACAGGCTGCTTTTTGTTTAAAAATCCCTATCACACACCATTATCAGGATGTTGATTTAAAAACCTTATTTGCATGTGAATCCTTGCCTGGCATGTGATAAGAAACATACTGAAAGCAAGAATAACATACCATTGCCATATAGATGCTCCCAATTTTGCTTGTGCTGGTTACAGGCATAACCTTTTAGCGGTCACTGCAAAATAAATGCTAATGTCTTGTATAGGCTTGGACAGGTCTGTACCAATCTAGGCAGGTGAATCTGGGAAACCTAGGAAGCTGAGTCTGGGTTCTTTTGTTTTGTTTTATTTTGTTTTGTTTTAGTCAAACATATTCTGCTCCCAAATAAGCCTTTTTCAGGAGCTATATTTTGGTGAGTTATCATGAACTGTCTTATTTTGAAGCTGTATGGTGAACTACCCAGAATTCATCAACTGAATGAAAAGTCTGCTTCCATACTTGTAAAACCAAAGCTTAGTAGGCCAGTTGCCACTTAAAAGTCAGTCCTAAAATGCATACTTTGTTTATCAAAGTATATTCCATTCTAGGTGTGTGGCAAAAGTGTGGAAAACAGTGAAAGAGAACCCAAACGCTCTGCAGTTTGGACTGAGAACTAACTCCAGCCACTCTTGTGCTTCTGTGCAAATGAAAAAGAGAGTCATGCTCAAAAGCATGACTGCTGAACTTGAGAAGACTTTCATGCTTCAGGTTAGCGGCAACAGAAGTTAGTGGTGAATGTACTTCTAAATGTGTTACTTCTTTAATCAACATTAAACAACTCTTAAAGCTCTTAAACAACATAAAACAATTTAAATTCTGAATATTTTGATCTCAAGTCAAGGTGTGACCTGCTAGCATTTTTCACATTGTTTTCACTACGCAGAAGCCCAGTTTTTGAACAGCAGTACTGAAGCTGTTTTATTGTGAAAGGATATAAATTGACTGGGCTAATCATTTTATAAAATGAACTGTTAATGTACGGGGGAAATTCTGATAAATGATTAAATGTAGACGCCAAGAAAATGCTGCAATAGGAATACCTTATTCATTCCTCACAAAAAGGCTGGTTATCTGAAATGTACAAATATGAATCTCAACACTGAAAGTGTAACATAAAAAAGATGGAGTAAAAATAGTACCGTTGTATTGAAAAGATCTAAACCTGGACATGTTTCAAGTGTATACCTGCCTACTTTATTAAAATAGGGATCTTCCCCTGCAGGTTGTTTTGTATGGCCAGCTCTCTATCCTCATTTCTCTCTTGTGTTCACATAGAACAATGGACTGGATGAAGATCTATTTTGAACACCTTTTATTCCACATAGTGCTGCATATATGGTGTAGCTGCAGAAATGTGAGCAGTGCAGTTTATATATCCTACTCTATCTAGTAAAGCAATAAAAAATCATCCAGCTGCATAATCTTTTATGTGCATAATCTTTAATGTTGAATATGCTAGAGAGAAAAAAAAAAGGATTGTCATGTTCAGGGAGAAGGTGCAGAATTGTCATTTAAATTTTAAAATATTGTGAAAAAAATTGAGAGATCAAAAATTATAGAGTATCACTAGCTTTTAGTTTTTTTTCTCCTCAGCTGAAGTAAATTATTAAGTTTGGCAAATGTTATTAAGTAGGAATCGAGGCAGTGAAGAGACTTGCTCCAGCTGACATGTTGCAAAGAGCACTGTAATTTGTCACTCTAATTTATTTACTTCTTCAGTCGATTGATGTCACTATTGATTTAGGAAGGACACCTACTATTGATTGCCAAAAGGAAAATATCCAAGAATCTCCTTCCCAATCAATATACACTCAAGCTGCATTTTAGAAAATAGTGATATTTTTACGATATATTATTTTTCATAAAGTTCGCTCCCGCTTTTGGAACATTTGCTTTTCTAGGCAAGATTTAGGGATATTCATTTGGTGCGGCTGTGACCCTTGAAGTGTTTGGTATGTGAAATGTGTAAAATATGCTAGCAGGAAACGCTGTGTCTATCAGAGATGTGTTTGCCAAAGTCTAGTAAACGCATCTGCATAAAGGCTGCAGACTAAGTTTACATACATACAAAGGTTTTTAAAATCAGCGATTCCATGAAAAGCGTTGGCAGTTAAGAATAAGATGAAAAAACTATTTTGCTAATAATTAAACAGTGTTTATTGGTTAAGTCACAGGTGTGTCCAGTCGCCTTCAATTTCATAGGGTAAAGATACTTCATGCACATATACATATATATATATAAAGAGCTTCTAATCTTGTAGTCTTAACAAATATATTAAAAGCTTGTCTTTCTACAGGGTTTCTATGGGCCTAATTTTCATCCTAACAACTTTGAGGGAATAATCAGAGGCTCTAAACGGTATCCAGACCACTCCATTTTCGATCTCATAAGGAACGTTGTACCTAGGGTCATAGTGGCCTCCCAGGTAATAAACGCCATTGAGGTTGGCTGCCTGGCAGCTGTTGTACCACCAGCCTCCCCCGTACACCTCCGCGCAGCTCTCCTCCCAGCGGTCGTGGTCCCTGTCGAAAGTGCTGAACTGCATCTGGGCATGGGACGTGTATTCGGTGCCCTCCTCCAGCCAGCCGGTGATCAGCGCGTCGCCGGCATTCCCCTCGTAGGAAGACACAGCAAGGGCATATCCTTCCAACTCAGACCCTACCTGTATAATATACTCTGCATACACAGCATTTCCATCCCAGTCCTCCAATTCTACTCGAAGGACAGTGTCGTTCTGAGTTAGCAAGTGTAAGTTTTCATTGCCCAGCCAGTACTCTCCTCGCCCTTTGCCATCCACGCTGCCGAAACCTCTCTTGTAGTCTTGCCAGGTCCGGTTAAAATTCACTGATCCATCCATTCTCTGTTGGATCAATAGCCATCCTCCCAAAGTGGTCTCTTGGTCGCAATAAACTGACAAAACCTTATTGGATCCCACCGGCTTGATTTTGAAAATGCCACTTTTGGCACCAAAAGTGTGTTTCTGGCGGATATCATCACAGTCTAAAAAAAAAAGTTGATCTAGTTTGACAGGAGTTATCAGTAAAATTTAATAAAAGGTTCACAGGAATCCAAGTAGCAATAGTTCTGAGGAAAATTTTTTAAACATGTCTTGGACTACACTAGACTTAGTGACAGGCAACATTAAAAAGGATTCAGATATATTTTACATACTTCTTAATTGCAGATGACATTGTCTAGATAATACCCGAGTATTAATGATATATTTTCCTTTTTATTTTCAAGGTGGCAACAAACAGACACCATTCTTGCATTTTTTTCATCACACTGACGTATGGCAGTATCTAAAACCAATGTGTCAGTTTGATTATGGATGGAGTTTTGCTCCGCTACCTCAAAATCC